CCTTTGTTAATGCAAACCCGGTATGATGTATTATTACCCCGTGATTGCTAACTCTGGTACTCTGTATCGTATATTTGTTAATGCAAACCCGGTATGATGTATCTTTACTTCTTTAATATGTTGTTCATATATTAAAGGTATTATACATATCTTGGTATAGTTGAATGAATTTTGGTAATTTCCTTGGAAAGTATACAGTCGTGAATCATACTTGTATATTTAGTTTTGAATCATAAATTATACCTATTATAATTTATATGTTCTATCTAATTAGCATGATTTCTCATGGATGAACACCTTTGCTCAGCCTGATACAAAGGTAATGATACCAAAAGGAGTAACCTTTTATACTCATATATATATATATATATATATATATATATATATATATATAATTAAGAAGGAAACGACCTTCGGACAAATAATACAACCTTAATTCCACATCCAAACAAGGAAAAGGAAATAAGATAATTCATTAGTCCTAAGCCCTTCAAATCTTATTTATATATTTATACATATATAAACATGATTTTGGCATTTATAATTTGAAATAGTTTATAAAACATTTTACAAAGAATTTAACGGAGTTTACATGACTTTAAAGATTTAACATGGCTTTAAGTCATTTTGAAAGTATTTGGTAATTCTTAAAAGCATACGGAAACTCTTTGTGTGATTATTATCACATACAGTTATTAACACAATTTAATATTGTGTTAAACTTGTTTTCCCCCCCTAAAAAGCATATAAAACCATTTAAAAAGGTATATTATAGGGGTATGAACTCACTTTGATAAGCGGTGATTCGGGCAGCGTTTTGTTTCCCGGAAAGGAGTTTGTTTGACGAGAAACCGGCTCAAATCGGGCAGAGTTTCGACTGGAGAGAGGATAACTTCTCGAGAATTCTGGGGCTTCGGGCTTTAGAAACGATACCGGGGCCTTGGGGGGTCGTGAGAAAGTTTACGGGGTGAAAATGTGAAAAAGGGTGAATTTTGGGGTGAAAAACCTCACAAATCCGAGAAGGCTCGCACCCTTTATATAGGGGTGCGAGGGTTCGGCCGAGGAGGTGAGTCAGCAGCCACGCGTCAGTCAGCAGCGAAGGCCACGTGTGAGGCTCGGACAGATGGAGGCTTCGGACTGGACCGGACTTCGGTCCAATGGGAGGAGTGCACGAAGGTCTGAGGGGTGTCCGAGTATCTGCGGGGTGTCTTATGCGATGGTGTCCGAAGCTTAGTGGACCGCGGACTTGGTCGAATCAGAAGGCGACACGCGAGGCTGCGGTCCAATTAGAAGACGCAACGTGGAGGCTGCATGCGAGGGTAACGTGTCCGAAGCCACCTATGCGCAATTGCCCGGTTTTCAAGATTTTCTTGATTTTTGTGCCAAAAATTTGCGAAAATCATAACTTTTGCATACAAGCTCCGTTTTCGGCGTTCTTTATATGCACGCGTAGGTAAAATTATACTCTACGACTTTCGTTTAGACTTTGTTGGCTGATTTTGACTTTATTTTTAGTATTATTATTTTTAACAGATCGGGAAAGGAAATCCGTTAAAAATTCATAACTTCTTTATCCGACGTCCGTTTTCGTCTGTCTTTTTACCGTTGTACTACTTTTGACGAGACCTTCGATTCTCGTTTAAGTTGTGTCGGCTAAATATCGATCGATTTATATTTCGAATTTTTAGCTGTCTACTGCTAAACCGAAACTTCGAAAAATCATAACTTGCTCATACGAAGTCAGATTTTTACGTTCTTTTTATGAACGTTCTCGGTTTAACATATTCTACAACTTTCATTTAGATTGTTAAGGCTAAAAATCTTTTTATCGAAAATTCGTTTTTTACACTGAACAGTGTTTTGCCGGTTTTGTCGCGGATTTTCGATTGGTAATAACTTCTTCGTTATAACTCGGATTTCAATGTTCTTTATATTTTTGGAAACATTATTACAATCTCTACCACTTTGTTCATCCCAATTACGATTATTGATCAATTTATTTTTAACCAAAATTTGACTGGTGTCATACTCGAGTTGGTAATTTACTTTCATTTATGCTTATTACAACATCTTATAGCTCCTTTCTTTTTAAAACATGCATAAAAAGGCAATGCACTTTCATTTAATATGGTTTTATAGCATTTTACTTTCATTTCTATATTTGCAACATTGTAACACGAAAAAAATGGAAGTATGATATTGTTTGGGTTAAATGCTTGTAATGGCAATGTACTTTTATTTGTATGTTTGTTGTAACATTTTACTTTCATTTATTTATTACATGGATGAAAATGAGGCTAACTAAATACAATATTAACCTTTGTTTCCCTTATTTTGATTATTTCATTTTCAGCCAAAGCATTCTCCAAAAAAGAAATAGATGATTATCTCCAAGAAAATGAGTAAACAAAAGTAAAGCTACAATGAGATCGGTAGGTCAACATTAAAACTTTACTCATCTAAAGCTATGTTCAATTTGTATGAATTCGCATATGGTATATGGTTATGTTTAAACTTTTTAATGGTTAATTTGTATATATACATTTTGTATTTAACCTTATTATTTAACCTTATTAATAATGTTGTTGGGTTTATTCATGCCTTCATTGTTAATCATTTTATATATTGTTTAAGTGGTAGTATTTTAAAAACTATAATAACTTTACAAAAAAAAATTCATCTATTTTTTTAAACTAACACGAATGTTTTGATATTAAATTGTAAATATGTTTATTTTTTTGGATGATAATGTTTTAAATATGGCTAGAATATTTTTAGTTTGAACTAATTATCCTACATCAATCGTTAAAATTATAAATATTTGTTGTTAAAAACTAAATTAACAGTTACACATAAATGATCGTATCACAAAAGAATATATTAACATAATATATAGTCCTAAACCAAAATAGAAAAATAATATAATGTTGTCATAAACGAAATAATTTATTTGTAATAAGAATATAATTTAAATCAACCAAATTTCATATTATCAGTTATTAAAAATCTTTCTATGGACTTGTATAGAATTTTTGTTTTATGAGAAATATTTCACCCAAATCGCCAAAACAATCACATGGTTTCACACAACTTATTTTTTTTAAATGATACATCATTATACTTTTGTTTTAAACCCAAAATAATCTATCTAAATGGGTTAGTTTCCAAATTACAAGCTATCATCTTCAAAGGCCAATTAGATTTCACTATTAGGGGTTTACCTTTTTAATTACCTTCGTGTCAAAGTTGGGTGCCAACTCATAAATGTTTTTGAATAGAAATAATTGTTGAAATAAGCTATTTGTACTCATCGTTTGACGCGGGTAAACGGCTAATATATATATATATATATATATATATATATATATATATATATATATATATTAATTTTATAAGCAACATTAACACTAAAACAAAGTGATTAATTTTTTTTGTATAACATACCAACCAACTTTGTTTTATCTTTATATAGTAACAATAAAATTTATAAATTTACACAACAAATATACATATTCGAATTGAAAAATTACAAAAATAGTTCAATCCCTTAATTACTTTGTGGAAAATAGCCAAAAAAAACCCAAATTACAAAAATAGTCACCAAAATCGCAGATGGGCTCAGTCTATTTGTGATTTTACTTGTCCATCTGTGATTTTGCGTCCATTTGTGATTTCCCTTATTTCAGGGGTATAAAAATGTTTTTTTTTCTTTCATTTTTCAAACTCTTTGTTAAAGAACTCTCTCTATCTGGAGGCACTATGGACGATCCCATTTTTCAAACATTTTTGTTGGATAATTCATTTTATTAGAAAGGTTTTAAACAAAATTTTCTAAAGAAATAACAACTAAAGTGATAATTTTTGCAAAACTTTATATATCATAAGGTTGTTTCGTAGTCAAACTCTATCAATTTAGTAATCAAAATAAAAAAAAACGCAAAATTGCAGGTGGGATGAGAGGAAATCGCAGACGAACTTAGTTCATCTACGATTTTAGTCAGAGATGGAGGTATTTATACAGAAAAAATAAAAAAAAAACCAAAAAAAAAACACTAATCCATATGCGATTTTCATGACTATATTTGTAATTTGGGTTTTTTTTTTGCTATTTTCCACAAAGTAAGTAAGTAATTATGCTATATTTGTGATTTTCTCTTTCAAATTTTGTCATAGTATTATAACTCACAAAATTCAATTCCCTCCAAAATAATATTCGTCAGTAATTTCATCCATAGTTTCACACAATCTAAATTTGTATTTCCTTATATAAATTTTTTAATGATCCTGAATTTTCCCTCCAAAAATATTTCAAGCATTTATTTATTAGATAATGCTGTCCATTATAATTATTACTTTCCTCATATAAAATAATAAAACTTACCAATATGCTTATATATTTATATTTAACTTTTTAAGCAACATTAACACTAAAACAAAGTGATTATTCAAGTGACGACTCATCTTCCTCAATTAAAAAAAACTAAAAGTCTTTTCCCTAATGTTTTATCCATCAATCTTTCGTCAAATTACACTAATTAAATTATATATGATTTTGAAGGTACTCATATGTGATGAGTAATGTCTTTCAACTAATAAAACAAAATATAAAAAGGTCCTTCAACGATTATAAATATTTATCGATTTTAATGTATCTTCTATACATTTCAATAATATCAATAATCATAATTTTTTTAAAAAGTTATTATGCAATATTTGTAGACATTTGTATTTTTTTTTTTATGTATTTCTCGCGTTTAAAACGAGTTATAATCTAGTTTATTTTAAAAAATACCAAATATTGTCGTTTTTGAAAATAACCCGGAGATTTAAGGCAATACGTCATTACGTCCGTTACAGAAGCAAAGGATCTACGTAACAGAACGGAAACACAACAACAAGAAACAAAATGAAGCTTCGGAATTTCCATTTCCCCTCCCAATTCCAAATTAAATCATTCTGAAATTAGGTCAAGAAATTGTTTGATTCCTGAGATATCAGAAATGGCAACCAATCATCAAGCGGTGATTGAACACAATAACTGCGGGGTGAAATCTTGCGACAAGATTGATCGGATGGCAACTTGGTTAGGAAGCAGCGTCGCATCAGCGTTCTTCGCTTCCCTTGAACGCTGTTCTTGCATCAATCTCGCCACCTCTCACGACGATTTTGACGATGATGAAGAAGCCAAAGATCGTCCCCTCATGCTCACCAAACCTGTAATGTTCGCTGATGATTCCCCTCACAAGCTCAACCCTCTGTAACTTCCACCTCAAATATTGTTTCTGTTTCTGTAAGCGCACATATGAATTCAAACGCTCTTGTTTGAATTACTTTACAAAATCTCATGTTCTTCTCGTACAGAATTGTAAATAGTGTGGGCTGATTGTGATCAATGCTATGAATTTGCTAGCTTTGAGTTTGGATTATTGGTGGTTCATTTTACTGTTGTTGTTTCTTTTAAATCTAAACTGGGTGTGGTTAAGGGTTCTAAAAATCTGGGTGATCCCAGATTCTTTGATCATTCTGAATTTGGTTATGGGGATCTTGTTTTGGGTCAAAGAAACTTATAGTTTTCAAGATTCTTGGTTATGGTTTTTTTGTATTGGGATCTTGTTTTGGGTCAAAGATCATAGATGAGCATTTCTTTGCTCTTCGAAGTTTCGGTTTTTTGGGATTATTGCAAAAACATGAGAGAAAATTGGTTGTAAATGTTCATGATTTCAAATATCATAAGAATTCTCAATCTTGAAGAATCATGCTCCTTCCTCTCTTTATCAAACGGGATGATAAAAATTTGTAATAGGTACTTGCTTTTATTTCCATTTTTGAGTGGCCAAATATCACCATAATCATAATCATCTTCTTCAGATGTTTGAAGATTTGGGTTCTGATTTTTCTCTGTTTGAAGCTACTTGGATAAAAATAAAAAAACAGATGGATGATAAATTAAGGGGATGAACATCACGTTTAAAGCTAGTTACATCTTAAACATAAAGATGACAAATTAGATCGACGAAATTACTTCCACAAAATCATAGGCTCATTGGTAAAAAAATTATCATTTATAAAAGAAAAGCCAGGAAGAAGACCAATACGTGGAAAAAATTTTAAAAATTGCATAGTTAAAAGAATAAGTAAATTACTAGAATCGTCTATGTGGTTTGGTCAAAACTTTACGTTTGGTCTGTAACTTATTTTCTGCATTTGGGCAGTCCTTATGGTATGTTTTTATTGTGTTTTTCGTCTCTCGTAGACATAAAAGACTAAATTACCCTTTACCCTTTATCTTTCATTTTTATTTATTATTTATTTATTAATTAAAAAAATAAATTAATATATGGACCCCCTCCACCGCTGCCACCATCCACCACCATGGCCACTTAAGCTAAAATAATCACCTTGAACTGAAAATAAAACCTAAAATTGGAATCTGAAACTGATATCAGATCCAAACCCCAAATCAAAAGAAAATATCTAAATCAAAACCCTAAGGAGAGGGAAATTATTCGATGTTATTTAGTTGGGTCACACTCATACCACCCATCTCCCTCACCTCTCTAATTCTCTTGTCGGCACCGCGTCTCTTTCTCTCCGACACCATCTCCCCCACCTCTCTAATTCTCTTGTCGACAACACATCTCTTTCTCTCCGACAGTACCACCATCACCACCACCCATCCACCCTTCTTCTTCCCTCTGGTAATTAAATCCCATACTAATTTAAAAAAAAAAAAAAAAAAAAAAAAAAAAAAAAACCAGTTTCAAAAACCCAAGAAAAAATGTTACTAATTTCAAACCAAAATTGAATGAGATGGAACCCATTTACAGTGGTATGGGGAGAGGATGAAGACGATATGTGAAAAGGATAAATACATTGAAGGATATGGAATCAATTTTAAACAAATTTACAATATTATGTGAACAAGATGAGGAGAAGAGGATACAAATTCGATATCAAGGACTGCGGGTTTGGTGGTGTCGCTAGAGGATCTAAAATCAACCAACAACGGAAGATTCGAGCAACAATGACGAAATCGAGAGTCCAATGGAGACAGACGATGGTCCAAGGATCCGATATTGACATTCCCCTCCCAATTTGAGCTGAAATCAAACAACGGTATACAAATCGAGCAAATATGGGAAAAGCATTGGTGATCGATAACAGTGATGGTCCAGTTGTTCCCGGTGGCTTTAGGGTTTTTAGTTTAAGCTTTGACAAGAAAGCGTGTGCGCGCGCGAGATATATATATATATATATATATATATATATATATTAATATATATATATATATATATTATATATATATATATATATATATATATATATATATATGCGCCTAGGTTATTCTATTCAAACTAATTATTGTGTTATTGTATGCATAAATATGGGCCAATCATTTTACTTATTTTAAGAAAGTGATTAATACATATTATTGAATTAAAAATAATCGAAAAATACCATCTAATTTAACTAGAAGGGTATTTTAGTCAATTAACATAGATTTAATAAAGGAAAGTTTGCATATTTTAAGGGATCATTGATTCTATTAATTTTAAAAATCTGATTTTACGAATTATTAGGTTTTTAATTCAGACATTCTGACAGATATGTTTGAATATATTCAAAAATAAAAAAATTCTTGAACCATAAAATAATAAAAATATTCTTGAACATATTTTTCTTGTAGAATAACAAATTCTCGAACCAGCAACTGAAGAATTAAAACAAAAATTATATTAATTCTTATAGAATACATGTAACAATTGCTAAGAATTACATTTATTGTTAAAGAATAAAACTAAAAAACTTTCAAATCGGGAAAAAAAAACATCAAAATCTAACAACTACACTAATTTATTCTAAAATAATAATGTTGCTAAGAGGCGTCGTTCAAATTTCGTGGTTCATTCTTCAAGCATCAACTTCTGTCAAAACAAAACCAAATTGTAGTTTAGATTCCAACAGAATTGGAATTCATGATTCCATTCCAACAGAATTGGAATTCATGATTCTTTTTATCTTCTTCATGTCAATCTAAAGAATTGTACCACACGTTTATGTTTTCTTTCCCTTAGATCACAATGTACTCCATATCTATCAAAATTCAAAACTATACAATAAGATCATCAAGATAATTGATTTTTTTTTTTATCTATTTAACTAGTAAAACCCAATCAAAAGAAACATACCCAATCAAAGAAGAGATCATCACCATTGTTCTTCTTTCTCTTTTCTGCCAAATGAAGCAACCAAAGCCTTCCCTGTTCTTCCTTCTCTTTTCTGGAGAAAGAAACTCTCTCTCACTTTATTCCTCTGTCCTTCCCTGCACTTTATTCCATTCAAAAGCAACAAGGTTTTAATTTTACTTGATTGTTTGTTCTAATTCATTCATAAGATGTACTTGTTCGAGGTACGTATCTAATAGCATACCTGAGATAGATCTATACATAATTTTAATCTAACTATAGTCCTCATATCTAATCCTCAATAACGATTGCAGAAGGACTAAATGAAAGACAATATGTACTTATCTAATTGCTTTAACAAACCCACATTATCTAATTCCAGAAGAAATTCTGTCAATCCAAATTTCTGAAAACCCTAATTCCCAAAATTCAATTGAATCCCCAACGAAAAAGCAGTGCATTAGACATAAATGTAATACAGACAAACAGGAACGACATCTCGAAACACAAACATCATATAATTACGACTGAACTAACTTGAATCAACAAAATCAAATAGGAAAAAAAGGTACTTATAAACAAAGGGAGACAAACCATGTCTGAAGAAGTAGAAGAATATAAAGAAACCTGAACCTTCAGGCGGAATAGACAATGCCACCGAAGCCCCACCTGTCGTCGGACCCTCTTCTATTCTCACCCCTCGCTGTTAGAATCAGAAGAGAGTAAGCCGAGAGTTGCTAATCAACCCTTGCTGCCCTCGCTTCACCCTCCTCTCCATCCGATTCAGTCGATTAAACCACCTAAAACATCCCCTTGGAGATCAGCGATCTTCTTTGTGTTCCCCATTCGTGTGGCTGCTGATCGGGGCCAGAAAGAAAAGAAAGAAACCGCCGGTGATAGTCGGTCGACGTGCTGGAGTTGGAGATGGCGATGGCAATCGATTTTTGTAGAACTCAAGATCGATTTTGTAGTCCATTCTAATTTTGCAGATCGGGAACGAGATTTAAATTGGAGAGATTAGGTCAATACCATGATTATAGGGATTAATTTTGGAAGTTACTAAACAAATTACTAAATTACCCTTATTTATTTATTTAATTATTTAATTTTTTGTTTAATTTTGATTGGCCCACATTTATGCATACAATAACACAATACTTACTTTAAACAAATGAACCTAGCTCTACATATATATATATATATATATATATATATATATATATATATAGATAGATAGATAGATAGAGATAGAGGAACAAGATGTACATATTATATTGCAAAGGGGTTTGGGGTGGGCACGTGGGTTTGGGCCAACTTATTTTCTAGTTTTATAAGTAATAAAAAATTATAGCTAAATAAAAAAATAAATTAATAAATGTATTGTAACAATTGCGTTTCAGGTATTTTTCCCTTTTTGCCCTTAACTTGAAATCATTGCATTTTGGTCCCTGGCCGAGTATGTTGGGCTTACGCTAGGAGTACGTTGGGCGTACTAGGTCGAAACTTGGCCGCAGAGGTAACCCACGTACGTTGGGCGTACGTGGAGTGCGTAGGGCGTACGATCACCTGGGGCAAACCCTGATTTTTAGGTTTTGTGCCCTATTTAAACACCTTAAGTTGCTCTTGGACCTTCTTATGACCAACCTCCACCTCTCCAAACCCTGGGAACAAAACCCTAATTTCCATTTGAGTGTTTTGAGCTTGGAATTGACCTTTGAAGGTGTTTTTGGTGATCTTGAAGGAAGAAGAACTCTTGGAAGCTGCATTGGTGTGGTTGGAGCTTGTAGATCCAGAATCATCACCAACTTGGAAAGATTTTGGAGGTATAAAACTCTTAACTTGATGGTTCATTATGTTAGATCTAGTTAGGGCTTGTTTTTGTGCATTTTATGGTCCTTTAAGTCATGCTTGAAAGTATGAGCCACTCCAGAAGTTAGGGGTGGTAGATCTTAACATTTTTAGGCTCATTGTGCATAAAAATGCAATCTTGATGTGTTATATTGGACCATGCATGAGTTAGGGTTCTTATTATGGGTTTTATGGGTCAAATCAAGTATTGGGTCCCATTAAGACATGCAAAAGAGTAAAGATGCCAACTGTACGTATTAAGACATCATTTAGGATTAGATATGAGAAGTGGACTTAGTGGCTTAACCAATTAAGCACTTAATGGCGAGTTGGGTTTGTTGTGGAGTATGTTGGGCGTACCCAGCTCGTACGCAACACGTAATGGCCAAAGGTGGCAAACGCAGGGCATAAGTCTAAGTACGCTGGGCGTACTCAGTAGCTGTTGACTTTCGTTGACTTTTGTGATTTGGGCCATATTTAGACTATTAGGGTTTTGGGCCTTATTGGGCCACTAGTCCTTCTGACTTTGGGACATT